AAAATGAAATGCAAAAATAAATCATAGACAGGCGTCCAACACCATCTTGAACTTCAATTACACGAAGTTACATTTCATGAAATTACATGTATAATTATGTAGATAAGTGTGTATCAAATGCATGTATTGCGATGTCGTACTAAAAACATCCTCTTGTGTACATAGCTATATATGTATAACTTATTTAATTGTCAGTTTGAAGCGATCAACATTTATTGATTTGAGATAATTGTAAGTTGAAAAAGAGAGATCTTTCCCTCTTATTTTTCTTGTCTTTTGTAATCTGTATTCAAGTTCAAGAGAACTATGCCAATGTTTTTGTCTTTTCCTGTGCAATGCTAATATTCTAAGCGAGTCTTCGTAATTACTTAAAGCACTGTTGACTATAGGGATGTTCACCTTCAAAAGTAAAGCTAATTTGCAGTATTCCCGACTATTTCATGTGAGATTACAAACGTGTTTCATTCGTAGGACAGGAACTTGCGTAAGGGCTAGTGCATACAGCGATATCATTTGCTCTCAACTTTGGTGCGCCTTGCTGTGCCGCGTTTGCAGAACCACGACTAGCCGGACAACGGGCTGAGATCACNTAATGTTTGAAGTTTGGTGAGCTCCAGGACAGCCGACGGATGGATATCAATGGACTCATCTCTTGCTTTTGCGTCCTTTCTACGAATCAACACCCTGGAAGAACAGGTAAGTAATTTAACACTACCAAACAACAATGGCCAACTCTGAGAGAAAAATATCGTCAGTAACCAGGAACAGATCGAAAAAAAAACCGAGTTGGTGTCTAAACCAACATCCCTAACACTCATATACAAATTACAAGGATGTTAATTCTAGACCATGGGCAGTCCACAAGAAACATACAATAGATCATACTTACAATATTTGGAGTTCCTTCAGTCCTCTGAATGCAAATTCCTCGATACTTGTCAAGGGAACGTCTTTTATGATACTGTAGCAATCAGAAGACAACGAAAAATGTAATATCGGTGATCTCTCTACCTTTTCGTTAAACTTTGCTGGCAAATGTCAATTGTGGTTCCTTCCACTGTAGTAATGAGAGATACCTATACTCAGTGCGTAGTACCGGGTTGGTAATAGGGAGCCAACGAATTAGTGGAATTATGGGCAGAGATTGAAACGTAGACCTTCATTGGCTATCAAGTATAAATATATCGCTTACAAAAAGTGTTCTGTGCTGATAACCAATCGAAACAAGAAACCCAGCCAGCTACAAGCCAGGTAGCAAACAAGCCAGCAAGCAAGCCATCCAGCTAGTTAGCCAGCCACTGGCCAGTCAGCCAGCCGGCCAGTCAGTCAGCCACCAGCGAACAATCCATAACCATCTGCTATTTTCCATCGTACTCTTGGTCAAACAGCCCAGTGTATTCTCATGCAATTGAAAAAATGAACAAAATCGACAGCACTCACATTCCTTGAAGCATGTCGAGTCCTTTGAAGGCGTCATTTGTTAACGTGGTGAAATTATCCTGCGAGATATTCCTGTTCAAAGACATTACACAAAATCGGCACGATCGTGCATCCCAACTTGAACCAACTACCCAAGCCACTGTTGATAGCAAAGCTTCCATAGCCAAATGCCGACGCGTGAAGCAATTATTGTGTATTGCTGCAACAGCATTATGTTTGGATCGTGGGAACAAAATTTGGAAAGCAAGGCCGATTGAGCTTGGTACGTGGAGTACACGTAATGCATTAATGACAGGTTTTCTCAATTTGTTTGCATATGAAAAAAAATATTTTTAAGAAGTTATTCCAGCAATTTTGTAGCACTGAGTTTGTTTTTTTTNTATTAATGGACTCATCTCTTGCTTTTGCGTCCTGTCTACGAATCAACACCCTGGAAGAACAGGTAAGTAATTTAACACTACCAAACAATAATGGCCAACTCTGAGAGAAAAATATCGTCAGTAGCCAGGAACAGATCGAAAAAAACCGAGTTGGAGTCAAAACCAACATCCCTAACATTCATATACAAATTACAAGAATGTTAATTTTAGACAATGGGCAGTCCACAAGAAACATACAATAGATCATACTTACAATATTTGGAGTTCCTTCAGTCCTCTGAATGCAAATTCCTCGATACTTGTCAAGGGAACGTCTTTTATGACACTGTAGCAATCAGATGACAGCGAAAAATGTAATATCGGTGATCTCTCTACCTGTTCGTTAAACTTTGCTGGCAAATGTCAATTGTGGTTCCTTCCACTGTAGTAATGAGAGATACCTATACTCAGTGCGTAGTACCGGGTTGGTAATAGGGAGCCAACGAATTAGTGGAATTATGGGCAGAGATTAAAACGTAGAACTTCATTGGCTATCAAGTATAAAGGCAAAAAAAACTAAAAAAACAAATGATGAACCCTGTCTAGCCTTAAATTTTCTATATGTTCCAGTAATTCATCTTTTTCAGTTTTTTGCACACAAACACAAACTCGCAATAAAATTTTTGGGGGAACTCAGATCGCTTACAAAAAGTGTTCTGTGCTGATAACCAATCGAAACAAGAAACCCAGCCGGCTTCAAGCCAGGTAACAAACAAGCCAGCAAGCAAGCCATCCAGCTAGTTAGCCAGCCACTGGCCAGTCAGCCAGCCGGCCAGTCAGTCATCCATCAGCGAACAATCCATAACCATCTGCTATTTTCCATCGTACTCTTGGTCAAACAGCCCAGTGTACTCTCATGCAATTGAAAAATTAACAAAACCGACAGCACTCACATTCCTTGAAGCATGTCGAGTCCTTTGAAGGCGTCATTTGTTAACGTGGTGAAATTATCCTGCGAGATATTCCTGTTCAAAGACATTACACAAAATCGGCACGATCGTGCATCCCAACTTGAACCAACTACCCAAGCCACTGTTGATAGCAAAGCTTCCATAGCCAAATGCCGACGCGGGAAGCAATTATTGTGTATTGCTGCAACAGCATTGTGTTTGGATCGTGGGAACAAAATTTGGAAAGCAAGGCCGATTGAGCTTGGTGCGTGGAGTGCACGTAATGCATTAATGACAGGTTTTCTCAATTTGTTTGCATATGAAAACAAATATTTTTAAGAAGTTATTCCAGCAATTTTGTAGCACTGAGTTTGTTTTTTTTTT